GGTGAGGAGTTTGCCCTTCCCACCTCCACATTGTTTTCCTGACCAAAAGCAGCACTAGGAGGCTGTATTTGCTTTGCTGGGGAAATTTGTATAGGGAAATAGCACAGAAGGTGAGTCTTGAGCAGGGCTATTTTTGGGCAGGAACGCACAGGAACGGAGTTCCGGCTGGCTCCCAAGTTGGCCACGCCCAGCAGGAACTAATTAGCATAATAGGCCACACCCAACAGCAGAAACGCATTAGAATTGGCTACATTAGGGGTGTGTGGCCTAACATGCAAAGGAGTTCCTGCTAAAAAAAAAAGTTCTGGGTTTTGACCACAAACAAGGTCAACAGAATAAAAAGCAAAAGGTGGGCGTGGCTGGATGACCACACTTCTGGTAACATGGGTGTGTGGCCTAATATGCTAATGAGCTGTGCTGTCAGGGCTGTGGTCTAATATGCTAATGAGTTTCTGCTGTTGGGTGTGGCCTATTATGCTAATGAGTTCCTGCTGGGCTTTTTCTACAAAAAAAGGTTCACCAAGAGCTCATGTCATGACAGAGATTGCCTATTCCCAAACAGGGCAGTCCTGCACAACCTCTGGAAATGGGCCAACATGTGACCCCCTTCTCCCCTCTTCAGAAAGACCATTCCCATGGTCTGGATCCACATCCCAAACTGACCAAGATCGTTTGTAGCAAATCTAGGAGACTCAAAGGACAGTCAGATGAAAGCTGTGCAGAAATCTAAGTTGGCAGGCGCTGGTTCATACACAAGTAGCTTAAGGAGGCTGTGATTTATTTAAAGGAGGTGTTCATTATAAAAGCTTCTGAGCTTCAAAAGTACTGCTCTCATTCCACATGTCTGTTTCTGATACTCAACTACACAGACATTTGATCTTGGCAAGAGGGTTATATACGTTTCTGTGAGTTATCGGGGAAAGACTTGATTCTCTGTTTTAATTTCTTTGAAGCTCCGTGTGGAAATGTGACAACCGCAAGTAGCACGGAAATTGGACAAGGTCCACAAGTACCGGCTGTATATATACATACCAAACATCAACCTTTTTGAGGTGAAAGCTGAATACCTAAAAGATGAAGAGGAGGGTACCGTTTTAAATATCCCCCCATTGCACAGCGAAGAATCTTCCCTTCAAACACACCAAACTCATTGAGCATAACTGGATTTAGTTTCATTCTGAAGGGTCTATGAATATTCATTTTAAAAAATAGTCACCAACAGCTTACATTCAATTTGCGCAATGTATTTCTGCTGAACACCAGGGCCCACATAAAGTAGCCGTTCAAAATCCTTAAGAATATTAATGAACCCTTATAGCAATGCAATTTTTTAAAAAAGGCTTCAAATAACCATTACGGGCTTTTAGTTTTAAATGCATGTTAAACAGATTTCATTATCAGCTAGAACGTGTATGAAAATTAAGCACCTCGCTATTATTATTCAAATCTGAAATTTATGCCCAAAAGATTAGAGCTATTCTCTCTTGCTATTTCTCTTCGGGCGCAATAATACCTATTGTAAAAAGGAGGCAGTATGGTATATCTGGGCAAATAATGTGCAGGCAGGAAGGAAAATGGCACTGATTCCAAGTTAGGGAGGGGCTGTGGCTCAGTCACAGAGCATCTGCTCCGCGTGCAGAAGGGCCCAGGTTCTATCCCCAGCATCTCCAGTTAAAAGGATAAAGTTAGGGGTGGATTAACCATTAAGAAGACTAAGCATGTGCTTAGGGCACCAGGGCCAAAGGCGGCACCACAAAGTTGGGAAAAGGGTGAAAATAAAAAAACAACAAATGAAGATTTGTTAAAAAAAAAAATGATAAAACTAGTAAAAATTGATCATGGTGCACCCAAAGGTTATCTTCTATTTTTTGTTGGCGAGGTACAGTGTCATAGGCTATGTTTAAAAGTAAAATGCACGTGTTTAAAAGTAAAATGATGGAGCCAAATTCAGTTGTCCGTTGCTGCAACCTGCATTGTATATCTAGTCAGACAGGTCAACGACTAAAATGGACTGGGTCAGTGTGGAAAGGAGGGGGGCACCAAGATTGGTCAGTGCTTAGGGCACCAGTGAGCCTTAATCCGCAGGTGGTAGGTGATGTGAAAGACTCCAAGACCTTGGGAAGCTACTGCTGACTGTGGGGGGAGCAGGCACACACGGTGATGTGTGTGTGGTCTGAGATTCAAGAAATAGAAAGGAAATTGCTAGGGAGCAGTACCATGAGGCTGAAGTAAAATAGTGGGGGGAGAACGGCGGTGAAGGCGGAGAAAGAGGAGGTGTGGAGTTTTTTCCCCTCCCACCTCCTCTGACCGCAACTCAGTGAGGATTGGCCAAGCCACTACATGGAGGGGCAAAGTCAAGCAGCTGGCACTGCCACCATCATACCAAACGCAAACACTGACCGCGAGGGGGGTTGGCAAGATCGGGTGCACACAGAGTGGTGGTTTGCTGATGAAGAGACAGGCCGGCAGAGAAGAGAGGAGGAGGAAGAGGAGGGCCAGCACATGGATAGGGAGGCAAATGGCCTGTCTTGTGCATGCTGCTCTGAGGGGAAAGACCTGCTGTCCTCAGAAGCAAAGGGGGAAAGGGAGGAATGAAGGGAGAAGGGGCCCCGTTGGCACTGATACATGTCTGAACAGCCACGAAATCGGGGGGGCAGAGTGAGTGTCGGAGGGGGTGGGGGGCAGCAACCACCCTTCTCCCCCACACCTGTTCTCGGCCTATGAAGGAGACGGGGTCGCGGGAAGACAAAAAGCACCCCTTGGAGGTTTCGGAAACAACCTCTCCACCAGCCCTTCCCCTCAGCCCCACTGTGTCTGTGGGAAATGCAGGATGGATGAGAATTGGCAGTGGGGGGAACCGGGAGAGCCAGGTTCAGACCACCCGCCCCCTGAGCCGGAAACTTGTCATCTGGGTCAGCCGGGTTCAGCTTATAAATAAATCTTATGTGTCTGAGAGAAATTTTCTCCATTACTTGTGCAATGAAATAGGTGAAACTGTTATTGGACTCCATGTGAATCCGGTAGCTTTTCTATTGAAGTGCAATTTTCCACACATTATCTACTACTTATAGATTCTTGGTCAGAAGAAGACGTTTGTCGAAACGGCATCACATTCCGGAGACCACCGTCCCACCATCATTGTTATCTTCTACCTTATGTAACTGGATTTACAATTTGAATGTATTAGTATCACTTTTGTAAATTTTGTAATTTTCATATTTATAACATGATTGCTATCATTATAGAAACATTGAGCACACTTTACACAGTTCCTGTGGCTCTATCTTTTCATGTCTATGGACTGTGACCATATTTGTCTTTGATCAATATGCGGATGACACGCAGCTCTATCTGATGTTGGGCGGCCAGTCGGACTCCGACCCTGAAGATCTTCACCGGGCCTTGCAGGTCATGGCTGGGTGGCTCAGGCTGAGCCGGCTGAAACTAAATCCGGTGAAGACAGAGGTCCTGTGCCTGAGTCGGGCCGGTTCGGGGTTGGGACTCCCTCTTCTGACCTTCGATGGGGCACCTTTGGTGCCAGCGTCGGAGGTTAGGAGTTTGGGAGTGCTCCTGGATCCCTCCCAAACTATGGAGGCACAGGTAGCAGCCACTGCCAAATCGGCCTTTTACCATCTTCGGCTGATCCGGCAGTTGGTTCCTTTCCTCGACCGTGATGACCTGGCTACAGTGATCCATGCGATTGTCACCTTGAGGCTAGACTATTGTAACACTCTCTACATGGGGCTGCCTTTGTTGCAAATTCAGAGGCTACAGCAGAATACTGCGGCCAGGCTGTTGGTGGGCACCCCAAGATGGGAGCACATCCAGCCTGTGCTGAGGGCACTGCACTGGCTACCTATAGCATACCGGATTCGCTTCAAAGTGCTGGTGCTTACCTTTAAAGCCCTATATGGCCAGGGTCCAGCATACCTGAGGGACTGCCTTTCCCCACATATGCCCCAAAGAGCACTTCGGTCAGGGACGCAACACCATCTGGCGATCCCAGGCCCCAGAGAGGCCAGGCTCACTGCAACTAGGGCCAGGTCCTTTTCAATGGCAGCTCCTACCTGGTGGAATGAGCTTTCGGAGGAGATCAGGGCTCTGAGGGACCTCCTGCAGTTCCGCAGGGCCTGCAAGATGGAGCTCTTCCACCAGGCTTTTGAATAGGAGCCACCACTACCACTACCACTACCATTACCACCATTGGTATACCAAGGGAAGGCACTAAGAAGACCAAGCTGTGATCTTGCTGTGGATTGCCACCATCGGATGGGGACGAGTAACATCTATGGGTCCGTTAACCTCCTTATCGCTATGTAATATTCTTGGGGTACTATCCTGTTAAAGTTAATATATTGACACTATTGAGCACTTTACTTGTGATGTGATATTTTATTCTGTTTTTATCCTGTTTAGTTTAGTATGCAAAATAGGTTCCTTTACTGTCTCATTGCATTCCTTTAGTAAATGTCTACCCCCCCCCCCCCCCCGGTAATCAAATCCAGACAAAAGGTGACCCTGTCAACTTAGTTTGTTATTCTTGTTTGGTCTTTGCATCTATTAAAACATCTTCATTATATTGTATGCTAATTTGCTGTTCATCCTCTGCCTATACGTATGGACTGTTAACTTCCATTTCAATGTATCTGAGGAAGTCTGTGTGCAAATGAAAGCTCATACCTTGAATAAAACTTTGTTGGTCTTAAAGGTGCCACTGGACTCAAACTTTGTTTGAATTAAGTTATTTATGACACTGTACATTCCCACTTGCTGCAATTAATCTTTAAAAAACAGCAGGCTTCCATACATTACCATTTATGGTCACAAATCTCATAACAGGGGAGCTAAGCTTAAAAGTGCAGCTCCAGCAACCAGTGCAAGAAAGTTCTATGTAACATATTTGCTCAGCTGTGGATTTGCTGTTTGATTGCCAGTCTTTCATTCATTGGGACCTGTCAAAACTTAAACAATGTCATGATCTGCAAGCAAGGACCCTACTGATTCCCCAAAGATCGTAAGTATTATTTCAGAAAGTTGTGGGTCCCTTTCTTTTAGCAATCCATGGCAGTGCTGTGTATATTTATGGGAGGAGACAGATTTCTTGAACCATTTCTTCTATGCAGATATACAACAGATTGCACAGAAGCATTACCAAAGGGAAAATAAATAAAAGAAACCGGAACAAATAAACTGAATAATTTAGTGCTCATGATGTTAATACCTTGTGAATGACGCAGTGTAAGAGACAATGTTCTTGTTTTGTTTAATGAACATTTTTTTCTTCTGCAGCTAGTTTTTCGAAATGGTCTTGACGTATCTGGTATCCACGATCTTATTCGTTTTCAGTGAAGTTTGCAGATATTTACGTAACAGGTAGATTTGGGGAAATCTAGCAAGTTCAAGAGAGAAAGTGTGCCAAACCTTGTGACAGCACATATCAGAATAAAGAAATAAAATAATGCCTGCCCCCGCAAAGATTACAGTCTAATTTGTAAAATCAAAGTTACATTTTAAAAAGTTTTTCTTCCCTGCTAGTGTTCTTAACTGTCATGGCATCATTTTCAGTTTTGTGATTAGCCAAAACATTAACCTCTAATGATAATATATGAATTGGTCTCAGTCAAATGATGTGTCAAATGAATATAGATTAATTGTTTTAACAGACGATAACAATGAATAAAGTTAATATACTCTGTGAATGCTTATCTTTTGATGTTGCATTTCTTGCCAGCATCACTCATCTCAATATTAACAAACATACCCACTCCCCAGAAGTACCAAATATTTCATATATTTTTCTTCAAGATACTGATGCTGCATCTGTTGCAGGAGTGGGCTAATGCACAATGACACAGACATGAATTTTCATGCAACCATCCCGTATCAACAAAATAATTTTGCAGGATCAGTGTGGTGGCAGACATCTAACAGCAGCATTATTTGATTCATAACTGCACATAGGATAGTATTAGAGTCTACAGCCTAGGAGGCACAGGTAATGCAGTTCTCTCACAACTAATTATCCTCACATTCCATACATTAGTAGAAATATTTCCAAGATAGCAAATCCATGTATCTCCATTTCTGTTTCTATAAATTAAGTATTGCTATACAAGACTAATATGGAGAAGAAACCAAATATTTATTTAAGTATTAATATCTGATTACTGTGAATAATTTGGCCTAAAGGAAATGGAGCCAAGAAGAATGACAATGGAAAGATTTGGGGAACGGTGTAACATTACTAGGGATGGACATGAACTGAACCACGAAGCAAAATTTGTCATTAATTTTACCCTGTCCATGGTTTGCAAACCGAAATTCATGATGGGGCTACCATCACAAACTTCCACAAACTTTTAAACCAGAAAGTAGAAAACAGTCCCTTTAAATTTCTGTTTTCTATTCTCCATGAAAGCAGCAAAAACAGTAAGTACTGTTATTTTTCTAGACATTCCCCTCAAATTTTACCAAGCAATTCTAAGCCATAAAATGAAGCAAAGACTTCAAGTTGTTTTTTTCCTTACAGAATGTAACAGTATTTTAGCTGGCTCTTCTACAAATGCAGTACACAGCAGCGTGCATTGATTGACAGTACCTGACAAAATCATTAACAACTGTTTCAGGCTTTCTAGTGCAATCCCAAAAAACAGCAGGCTGATCCCCACTGCTCAGTTGTTTTTCAGGGTTTCTTTCAACAGGGTTTGTGGGGCCATGAACCACAAACCAGCTCAGTTTTCAAATGAACCTCACAGTTTGATTTGATTTGTGGTTCAGCCATGAATTGCAATATTCCGGACCACATTTTTCTGGTTCGTGCCCATCCCTTTTCTCTGCCCAAGACTCAGAAGAGCCCTTCTTAGTCAGAATAAGAAGTACTCAGCTAGATGGGCCATACCTGGCCTCAGTAAAACACAGCTCCATATGTTCATAATCCCCTTTTCAGTGCCTCAGCCCGTTTCGACATACAAATTTGCGGACACTTTTTTCCTCCCCTAAGCAACTCCAACAACAGATGAGATGCAGAATGCCTACACTGTGTGACAAACATTGACCAGAGCTTAATTCTGGACACAGAATGCTTTTTTATTTCGAAATTTCGAAATTAATTTCAGTAGTACACTAGTGTTGTGCTTTTAAATGCTTTTTTATTGCACTTTCTGTTCAATTTTTGTGATAGGCTAGATTACAAGATCCTATAAAAGTAAATACTCAAAACAAAAAACAAGCAAGGATGGAAATAAGAATCAAAAAATAGAACCCCCCCCCCCCCCCGGAATAACATTTAAAGAGGAGAAGTGTAACTTGCTGAACACACATGAAGTTGCTTTATATTGAGTCAGACCATTGACCTAACAAGATATTGTCTACATTGACTGGCAGGTCTCTCCAGGGCCTCAGGTAGAGGACTTTCATATAATCTATTATCCAATCCTTTTAAGTAAAGATGATGGGAATATGAACCTGGGAATTTCTGTATGCAAAACAGACGATGAACTGCTGTACCACAGTTCGTCCCCTCTACCTGAACTACTAGTAATTATATAAGTTGCTGTCCTACATGCTTCTAAGCACTTGAAAGTCACATTAGCCCTAACTACTTTTGCAGATATAAAATATATTATTGTGAAATGATGCTCTATTTCTTTAAGACCTGGACATAATTCTTCCCATTATCTGCACTTAAGCCTGATTTCTAGAATGGTAAACACCAAACACGCAGCAACTACAAGCTTACAGTTTAGTCAGTGTTGCGCTGCAAGCTTATAATGCTCTTATGAGCCATAACCAATAACTGGACTGTGCAATGAGTGTGCCAAAGAAATGGACTATAGGGTGGCCACAAGCTGAACCAACTGCCTGGACTGTGAACACGTGCCCAGATGAGGGAAACCACCTCCTGATACGATGTGCCAGACCAAGGATGGCTCCACGGGTTACCTGCCACCTCACCTGCAATGCAGCAGAGATAAGCCAAGCACCTTGGCCACAGACAGAGCACAGATGCCAGTTCTAGCATGCTGTAGAAGGACGCCATGCCATGTGAGAAGACCTGAAAATCTATGCAGAGACTCCACGGACAGAAACCTCTGCTAGCATGCAGGCACCCCCCCACACACACACACACCTTCTGCTGCCCAGGATGACAAAAGATCTGTTTGCATAAAGGGATTAGCCACTGACCCATCATACCTGCCAAGCCTCTCAGCTAAAGCAATCATAAGCATTAACGCCTCTGACTGCTGCTGCTACTGTTCTTTAAAGGTGCCATTGTCTGTAGTAATGAACTCAATATTGCCCAACCATTAGCCCCACCATCCTGCAACCAGTTTTGGCAAGCAACTTCCTGGGGACTAGGGACGTGACAGGGGAAGTGGCCAGTATAGCCCACCCCCAAGTTCAGATAGTGTATAAAAAGAGCAGAGCCAACCATGCTCTCTCTCTCTCTTGCTTCCTCTCCTACCCATCCTACCTGGACTCTTGGTCTAGCACTGGCCAGAGTCTCCCATGTGCTCTGCCAGTTCAGAACACAATCCCTGTCCCTTATAGTCTCCCTTCTTATTTTTGCTGTATGATTGCTTCACCTCTTCAGGACAGGTACATATCACCCACCAACAATTTGCCTGCTAATGCGAATGTTGCTATCCCTGTCTACTTAGCTCTGTGTACTTGTGTGTGTGTTTGAATTTATTGTATGTTTGTGAAGACTCTTCAGTAAAGAAACCATTTCATTCAGATTTGGTATCTGCGTTTATTTCTGGTATTACTGGAATAGGTGGGACTCCTGTATACAAAGGTTATTGCTCCCTATTTGCCAATTGCCATTTTAATAATCATAATTCCCCACATTTATTAATAAATAAGGCAATTTGGCTAACATCAGATAGGGTTCAGTGAAGAACAATTTTCCTTCGTAGTTTATGTGTGAAGTATGCGGCCAAGTTGGAATGTTAAAATGTTGTTAGAAAAGAGAACTGGAGAGCAGTTCTCCACCTGACATCATAGTAAGCGAACACTTAGTATAACCAAATGTCATGCTTTCTATTATCAAGACAGAAACAACGGTGTAGAACAATGCTAATATAATCTAGGAAGTTTTCATGAAGCAAATAAAGATACGGTGCACGATACAAAATTGATTGTGTCTAGTTTTCAGTCATTCAATAAAGTATCCGGATTATTATCTTCATTTCGGATATCTTCTTCCAGAATATCATACATTCCAAATTGTTGCAAAGTACTGAAAGAATGTTATAAAGTTTCATCAAGTGGGCCACCAGTAACTCATTGTACACAGAGCTACTCTCTATAGTGCTAGTCTGGTGTTGCAGAATTTAGAGGGCAGTTCAGTCAGAAACCTAACACATTCGCTGCCCACCACTGCTCCAAATTTGCCTCTACACTCCATCCTCTTCCGTATTCAAAGCAGACATTTGGAGGGAAGGGAGGAAGCAATGTGGCAGTGCCTTGGAATCACATATTTTCTTCACCCGTTGCCTCTCCTGTCTAGAACACCTCTACCAAGGGATGCTTTGTCTTAAAAGGAATGCCCTGCCAGTGTTCTGTTACATATGATTGCATGTAATGTTTAATTAAACCCTTAACTCAAAGGAATTTTTCACATGTCTACAGGCTTGTGTGGTTTTGCTGCGGCCATTTTAGTTGCTGACTAAGTTATCACTAACAAGGCTTATACATTGGCCTTTCCCCCCATATTTTCCCTGCCTAGTCATTCACAGTGGTCATCTTCCACCTTGACCACCACCCTGTGCCACCACACATTCATTTTGAAAATAAGCAATTCATATCAGGCTCTCTGAATTCCCATATTTCATTTTTTTAAAATAGTCCACAGCTTCATTTGTTGCTATTTAGAGAGGGAATGGTGTATCTGCAACAAAAATTCTGGAGAGTTATTTTTTCAAAGCTGGAAATCCAGAGAACCAGAGTGACAGATTGCTATATTGCTGATTTTTAAAAGTGTACCAGTGGTAGTGCTGGAAATTGCCACAGGGAGGGTGCAGGGGAAATGGTGGTGATGTGGGTGGAACCAGGAAGATATGGACTTTCCCATCCACATCAGTTGCTACCAAAATATTCTGGAAAAATTACAGAAAGAAGGGGGAAATCTGGGAGGTGCACTTTTACGTCACTTACCACATTTTCAAATTTACAAGCTCTTCGTGCATATGTTAATGATTTTTTCAAGCACTGCCAGTCAATGAATGCTGCTGTGTACTGAATTTGTAGAAGAGCCAGCTGAAATACTGTCACACTCTGTAAGGAAAAAGACAATTTGAAGACCTTCGTCTTTGCTTCATTTTGTGGTTTAGAACTGCTTGGTGAAGCTTTTGGCGAACTTCTAGGGAAAAAAGCAGTGCATACTGCTGGCTGTTCAAATTTATCTGGAATGATGCTCAAGGCACATAGGATACTATGTAAAATGACGGGCAACAATCCTTACTTAAAGCCTTTCTGTGTAGCCAGCCTCTCTCCCATATTGTGATTTGTAAATGCTATTTCACATGAATAATGGAAAGCTTCTGTTTCCTGAATTTGTCCACATAAACAAGATCTGGATTTTCATGCTACAAATCTCTAATTTACACAGAACGCAGAATAGGGCACAATGTAAAGGACTATGTGAGAAGCTACTGAATGCATATCAAGTTGTACAGCCACGCTTACTGCTTCAGTCCCTGCCCCTCCAACACATTCTCAATCCCCCCTCCCCCAAGCAGGGAACACTCTGGGACAGCATGTGATACTCAGTAATAAGAACCTGCAGTCAGAAGATGAAAGTGGGGAATCACTCATGCAACTGCATTTAGACACACATATTGGGTGAAGTCACAGTGCTGAGAGACTGGAAGGGACTTGATGGTTACCAGTCATTGCATAATTACAGTCATAGTTTTTTTCAGTTGTCGCTATCATAGAAAACTTTCCAATACTCACGGTTGTCAATTTATAGGGAAACTTCTTCATGAGTCAGTGTGTGGGAGAGTTTGAGCATAAAGAATACAGTGGTCCTTCACCAGATGTGAGTGCACTGTCTGGTTCTGCTGTGCCCCAAGCAGTAGGAAGGAGAACACAAAACTCTCAAATCTGGAGGTGCATCTAAAGCAAAGGATAGAAACCATGGGCAGATGTGGAAGAAATTAACAGTATTTAACAGGTCTTTTTGAAGAACTCTTTCATTATATTTCCTTTCTCCAGTGGACATGGTATCTATGATTTCCTGTTCTTTTTAATCTTCTTTCTTTTCCACAGAGAGAACGGAAAATCTTCCTCTCAATGTTATTCACAAGGACTTGGATCCACGTAGATACAGGAATGTGTACTGCCTCCCAAATCCCTAAATAACCAGGTATGGCACCTCATGTCAGATGGTCAATTCAAAATGAAAGTTAAGAAAGTTCAAATAATTACTAAATGACCCAGAATTCACCCTTGAAAGGTGATCTTTTCCATACAATGGTTCCCATCCCTGCTGTTGCCAAACGCACAAATCCTAAAAGATTGATCTAAGAAAGCTCCCTTCTCCCTCAAAATTCGAACATAAACCATCCTTTATCTCTCTTTTTTTGGCCCCCCGTAGAGGATTTTTTAATTTGCATTTTCTAAAAACTACAACAAAATAGGGGAGGGATCTACAACTATAGGGGGGGGGGGAGAAAACCCACTAAAAACCAAAGAGTTGGAGGTAATACACTGCTTATAAAAGTATTAGCTTAACAATATAGAAATTGCTTTTCTTAACATTGAGGGTGGCCAATCATCATCATCGATTATGTTAACAAACTAACAAATCTGACTATATAAAGAGCATTCCAGGAGAATTGCTAGTTAACTTAAACACAAATTTCATGAACAGTGGCATCTCATTTTACAATTGTTTTTCCCTCCTTCCTTTAAAGCCAATTAATAATTAAATTTCCCTCAGTAGGTGTAACACAGTCAATTTCTCTTCCCACGCTGTAATCTTCTTTCTTCTTGAACACTTTCCCTGTGGCATTGTCTTGCTGGAACTGGAACTGGTCATCTCAAAACAAAGTCCCTTTTTCTTTTTCAAGGACTGTTATCCGCTTGAATTCTTGCCTTCAATCTTACAGATCATTCCATTTGTTGCTTTTGAAAACCAAACTTTCAGAGAGTCTATCCGCCCTTTTGCCCGTCAGACTTATTTCGGATATGTCCATGGCATACCCATTCGCTTTCAGCTTCGCTTAACGTCTGCATACAGGCCCCACCACTTAAACCTACTCATTAGACTCTCCTCTTAAATATTGGAAGTCCATGTGATCAAAGGCTAGTCGCTTATCCAATGTTAACACAGTCCCTTGAAAATAACAGCCAATATATAGCACAGTTCTTGTGAAGTACCTCATTTTTGCCAGCAGGGGGCAAAGGCTTAACATACTGCTTGAAAGAGTCTATGATTACTTCTGGTCACATGGGCCAGTTGCTCTTCCACTTCCTGAAGAAAGCTTGGATCTCACTTGCTGCTTTTACTGCCTTGCCGATCATGTTTACATTTTATAGAATTTACCAAAGTTCCAAAAACTTGCCCAAACGCTTATTTGGCTCCTGGAGTCTATTGCCACTTTGAGCTCCGTCCCCACTACAAAGGTTTTTCTTTAATCACTTATTTGTTCTTTCCGGGGGAGAGTCCCCCCCTTGCTTTTAGTAATAGGGGACTTGCTCATTTTCTGGTGTTCTCGCTTTAATGGACTCACTCTTCAACATCTGATCATTCGGATCTTGCCAGGTAACGATTTAAACGATGTCCCTGAGCGCTTGTCCCAGTGTGCGTAGCTTAGTCCTATTCAGGAACACAGTGCAGAGACCTTTGGGGCAAAGGGAAGCCTCAATCTGCTGGCAGCATGCCCGCAGAGAGGCGACCCTCAGCGCCCCATGGCAAGGAACTCATCGCAAGAGTCCCAGGAGTGTGCAGACATTTGCATCCCCTCTCAATGCGCTGGTCTGCGGATTGCCCACCAGGGATACGGCAGCCATCAGCCCACCAAAAACCGGAATTGCGTTCTAAACCATCCTTTATCAATTGTCATTTTATCCATACCCAATTAACTTGCTATTCAGGCTGTTGGGAAAGCCCTCTTGTACCTTTGGGAATACATGGATATACACCATTTTCCTCTCATTTTCCACTTAGACAGCTTGAGGATTAGGGATGGGCATGAACCTGGAAAATGTGGTTTATATTGGTTCGTGATTCATGGCCAAACCATGAACCAAACCGTGAATTGAACTCAACTGTGAGGTTCATTCATGAAATGAACTAGTTTGTGGCCCCACAATCCTCACTGTAAGAGCCTGCAGTCTCTTTCATTGGGGGGTTGCAGAAAGCCCAAAAAACAGCTGAGCAATGGGGAGCAGCCTGCTCCCCACTGCTCAGCTGTTTCAGGCTGTCTTGTGTAGTCCCTTTAAATCTAACAGGACTGCACAAGACAGCTCGAAACAGGTAAGCTCCTGGAAGCACCTCCCTACCACTGAGCTGTTTTGCAGGCTATCTTCTCCAGTCCCACAAGACAGCCCAAAACAGCTGAGCAGTGGGGAGCAGGTTGCTCCCCATTGCTCAGCTGTTTTTGTGGCTTTCCCAGGGAACAGAAAGCAGGGGTTCAAAGGGACTCGGAGTCCTTTTAAACCCCTGCTTTCTGCTCTATCCATGAACCATCACAAACTGCTGTAAAAATTCATGATAATAAACCCATCACAAACTTCGATTCATGAACCATGAATAGGACAAAATTCATGATTAATTTTGTTTTGTGGTTTGGTTCACGCCCATGACTATTGAGAATCACTGCAGATAAAGTTATGAGGAACTCATATAAAAGATGAACAGCCAAAACCAGAACAGAAACACTAAACTGATTTCAAAAGGATTTGGTGCAAACCTCTCTAGTCATCCCAGAGCTACATCATGAGAGATAACTTAGTGTGACCACACTTAAATTCTAAGGCTGATGGACAGCCTACAATAGAAATTGTTAGTGCTTCTGTTGACAATATGTATTGTGTTTAGCTCTCCACTCACAGTGGATTCAAATGCCATAATAGTTAATGCATTAGTGACTCCAGGCAGACTATCTATACAAGGACACCCATTATTGCTATGAATAGAGTCAGCATTTAGACAACAGTAGATTACTGCTAATGCACAATCCAAATCAAATAGGTTCTTATGTGGTGTTAAATTAATCACTTCCCTCCAAAGTAACTGCATCCAGAAAATGCCCTTCTAGAACAAATAAGCGTTCAATCTCACCAGAGGTGATCATTGAAAAGTTGTCACTCATGAGTCATGACCTCTGTTGTATTTCAAGTATGCATGCTGTTCTAGCAGTGCTGAGCCAAACACCCTAAAGTATAATAACAGACAAGATTAATCAAGAAGCAAAATAGTCATGAATCACTGAATATGTTAGCAAATAAACTGCCAGTTCCTGACAGCCCTCTCACATCCCCAAAAAGGCATACTAGCTGGCCTTTTATTTTTATTTTATTTTTGCCATCAAGTCTCAGCCAACTTATGGTGAGCCTCATGTCATTTTCAAGGCAAGAGACATTCAGAGATGGTTTGCCATTGCCCGCCTCTGCATAGCAACCCTGGTAGTCCTGGATGGTCTCTCATCCAATTACCAACAAGGGTTGACTCTGTTTAGTTTCTGAGATCTGATGAGATCAGGCTAGCCTGGTATCAGAGTCCCACAGCAATCAGTCCTCAACAACGATCCTTCAAGAGGTTTACGTTTATTGGGTACAGTAAAGGAAAATCTTCTGAGCATACACTCATTGTCAGAACTAAAAGCAAGCACATGCAGGCTAGTGATATACAGAAATCCAAAGGGTCAGTGAGGGGTTGGGGCCAATCAGGAGTCACACAAAAGCCCACCTAAGCTAACAGGTAAGCATTCCCAGGGAGAAGGAGTAACAAGGTACCAAGGTCACCAAGTCCGACTAAGAGGCGATAAGGATGCAGTAAGAAGAGAAACTAAACATTCCATAGAAAGGCATTTTATCCAGCGTTCAGCATCCCCCCCCCCCGCAGTCCATGGCAGCTGCAGAGCTGACACCTGGGCCATCCAGGTAGTGATAAGAATACCATAAACAATAAAGCAATAAAACACAAAAGGCAAAAAAAATGAAACACAGAACAGAACGCAACCACACACCACTGAGCCACACTGGAACTATCCAGGTAGTACTTTTTAATCCACCCACCCACACCTTTCTCAAAGGAGCTCAAGGAAGCTTACAAGGTTCTCTCCTTCCTCCATTTTATCTTCATAAGGAAAGAAAGAGATGCCCAGTATCACCTAGTGAGTGTTAGGGCTGAACATCAATTTCAACCTAGGTCTCTCCGATTTGAACACCCTAACAACTATACCACACCAGCTCCTCAATTAGCTAAGGAGGTCTGGGTGTCTGACTTTTCGTTTCTAACCCTTGAGAATATCAGTTAACTAATCACAATTGGTATTGCATGTTTATTTTGAAGCTTGAATTCCAAGGAAACAAATATGTGCAGGTTTTAAAAGAACGAAACCAATTGTGCAGGTTCCTCAAGATAAGAATCTATGTCAAACTATCACAACAATAGACCAGATTATATCTCTTTTGTTTTTGTGTTTTCATTTTGTTTTAACAGAGATACGGACTACAAAACCCATCTCATCACAATAAATCATGTTGGGGAAAAAGCTGGTGACAGCACAGAAGCGTGGGGACACCAGGGCACTCTTCCTGGGCTTGGGAATGATGGCATGCTCGGTGCTGATGTATTTCTTTATTGAGATCACCATTACACCAAAATACAAGAAGAGGTAACAGATTATTTAGGATGCATATATGTGACTCCCTCGGCTTTCAGAACTCTCCCCTATTATTTTAATACTAGTGCACTGCATTCTGGGTCCTAAGATAGTTGCCAGCCAAGTCTCTTTGGAAGCTTAAACTGCGTAACAGACCCAATTCAGCGCAGCTAAACAGCAATTCAGTTCAGATGGAGAAGTGGGCTAGTATCTCTCCCCTCCATCATGCATCTGAAGGAATGTGGCATGCAGGCTGTTCACACAAAGGCTAATATGTGCAATGACTCCATTTGCAGGATTCTGCAACTTGAAAAGGAGGGATCAAAAATGGTCTCCCCTTGAATCATGTTACATGATTATTTAGTTCTGGAGGACAGGGGACAAAAATTGCACGGCTAGCCCACAAAGGGAATGTGCAATCCATACTGTGAACATTAAAAGTATTTTTGGAGGGGGGGGGGAATCAGTTCCAATAGGAAGAAATGATATCCAGACACTTCTTCATTGCCAATGTCTATCCAAATTTTATTTTATATTATTAGATATTTCTTATAAGAACTAAAATTTGAATTCAGAATTGAAACTTCAGCAACATTACAGAAAGCAAATATATAAAAACAGGGGAAGATGTATGACAATCTCTCCTTATATATAATTGAGTAAGAACATTCTATATGAACATTCTAAAATGCCCGCCTTTAGTGTTAGGCCGGAAGAACTGCCACTCAGAAGACGCTGGCTGGGTTGACTGGCTGCTTTGTGCAGTCCCGCCCAGCGTTTCAAGGTCTTTTGCATATGGAAGCTGATTGGACTTCACTCCATTCCACACCTCATTCTCCCCCCCCTCCCGCAAGGCAGTTGGAATGTCAGTTGCATATGGAACCTTCAAGGTCTTTTGCATATGGAAGCTGATTGGACTTCACTCCATTCCACACCTCATTCTCCCCCCCCTCCCGCAAGGCAGTTGGAATGTCAGTTGCATATGGAACCTTCAAGGTCTTTTGCATATGGAAGCTGATTGGACTTCACTCCATTCCACACCTCATTCTCCCCCCCCTCCCGCAAGGCAGTTGGAATGTCAGTTGCATATGGAACCTTCAAGGTCTTTTGCATATGGAAGCTGATTGGACTTCACTCCATTCCACACCTCATTCTCCCCCCCCTCCCGCAAGGCAGTTGGAATGTCAGTTGCATATGGAACCTTCAAGGTCTTTTGCATATGGAAGCTGATTGGACTTCACTCCATTCCACACCTCATTCTCCCCCCCCTCCCGCAAGGCAGTTGGAATGTCAGTTGCATATGGAACCTTCAAGGTCTTTTGCATATGGAAGCTGATTGGACTTCACTCCATTCCACACCTCATTCTCCCCCCCCTCCCGCAAGGCAGTTGGAATGTCAGTTGCATATGGAACCTTCAAGGTCTTTTGCATATGGAAGCTGATTGGACTTCACTCCATTCCACACCTCATTCTCCCCCCCCTCCCGCAAGGCAGTTGGAATGTCAGTTGCATATGGAACCTTCAAGGTCTTTTGCATATGGAAGCTGATTGGACTTCACTCCATTCCACACCTCATTCTCCCCCCCCTCCCGCAAGGCAGTTGGAATGTCAGTTGCATATGGAACCTTCAAGGTCTTTTGCATATGGAAGCTGATTGGACTTCACTCCATTCCACACCTCATTCTCCCCCCCCTCCCGCAAGGCAGTTGGAATGTCAGTTGCATATGGAACCTTCAAGGTCTTTTGCATATGGAAGCTGATTGGACTTCACTCCATTCCACACCTCATTCTCCCCCCCCTCCCGCAAGGCAGTTGGAATGTCTGGTGGTGTGTAGGTCCCAGGAACATGTTTTAAGAGCTGCCTGGGGGATTATGGACCATTCACACACTTTCAACCTTAACATACCTCATAGGGGGAGAGGAGAATGATGACAGCTGCTTTCCCTAGGCAGAGGCTGGGGGGGGGGGAAGTAAACTTGAAGACAGACAGGCAGATAAAGGTTAGGCTGATGATTGCCTGGAAAGGACATAGGGTTGCCAACTCCCGATGGGAAATTCCTGGAGATTTGAGGGATGGAGCCTGAAGAGGGTGGGGTTTGCGGAGGGGTGGGAAATCAGACAGGTAGAATGCCATAGACTCCACCCTCCAAACCAGCCATTTCGTCCTGGGTAACAATTGTTGCCAATTTCCAGGTGAGGGCTACAGATCACTCAAAATTACAACTGCTGTTCAGGGAGCAGAGATCAGTTCCTCTGGAGAAAACAGTGGACTCTGCCATTATACCCTGCTGAGGTCACCACAGCAAAATGACACTGTTTGCCCAAAGCCAGAGCACTCCCCCAGAGCCTCTTTCTAGATCTCGTTGTAGTTATTTCCACAACGGGCTTTACTGCTAGTTTAAAAATATTTCCATAAGTTACTCTGGGCAAGGTATATACATATCACTGTATAATATAATACAGTGGAAGGTTACCAGAGACATTTAGATGATCCAGAAATAACTGTACTTGGCAGGTATAGAGAAAGGATTTCTTTCAAGAAAATATATTAAAGGGTATTACTAGTAACATCTAATCAAGTTTCTACCCAGTTTGCATTAGTTAACCATGACAGCGAGAATAAAGCTCCACCCCAGAAGCCAAGGCCCACACTGTTTGAGATCTGAATAGTTATGGTATTTCTCAAAGTGACAGCCATGACATTTGTAACTGGCCAGAGTCAGCTAACAAAATATTGGTTATGTCTGGGGAGCTGTGCTTACCTTGGGAAAGGAATCAACCTATGCTGCATGCACTTCATCTTTTAAAAAAACAACAACCAAGAAGGTTATTTGCATGAATTCTATGACTGCTTGCATTAGCCAGTTTATGCCCACAGTGGCAACAGTGGGAATGCTTCTAGTGTCCTGGCCCCACTAATGGACCTTGTGATGTCCTGCTTATTGGGGAGACTGTTTCTCCTTTAAAACACACACTGGGTACTTGAACGTAGTAGATTTCTGCTGCCACCAGGAATTAAAAATTTCAAATCTCTCTCTTTTGGTAGAATGACCCACTGTCTGGGTGCTTCAGAGGACTATGTGGCCCTGAGGAAGGACTGTTCTGATTGCTGGGATAAGTTTAAACAAATAATGATTTATTTATAAAAGAACAAAATAGGTTTCTGGGTATTTTTGAACTGTTGTTGAAGGAAGAAAATATAACTGACAAGGCTTGGTGTCACACACAGTCTCTCATACACCAAAACTCCACTCTGACAGGCTTATCTCTCTCTCATATATAACCACATAGTCTACTCTCTTGCTCACGTAGCCACACAGGCTGAACTCTCTTGGTCATATAGCCACACAGGCTGAACTTTCTCTCTCATAGCCACACAGGCTGAACTAAACTCCAACTGCTTCCTCTGTCATACAGACTCTCCCAAAAACTCTCCACACTCATCTCTTCAAGAACAAAGAATCCCCTCATATACATCTCTCCTCCAACGCTCTCAGTCATCAGCCAATCACATCACACTTGTCACCCTCTATCACATTATTGCTGTCACACTAAACATTAAAAGAAACACACACACCAAAACAAGAAATCATTACATACCTCCTGATGGCACCTGGTATTTTTGGCCACTGTGTGACAGAGTGTTGGACTGGATGGGCCATTGGCCTGATCCAACATTGGCTTCTCTTATGTTCTTATGTTCTTATGCCTGTGTTCAGTCAAGTAAGCAATGGGAAACAAAACTGGTGAGGAAATGGGGCATGGATGCTGTGATACCACTTCTGGGTGATTACCCAGAGGTGATGTCACAACATCATTACCACTTCCCCCTTTCAGCCTCCATCTACAAATGCTCCTAGGTTTCACAGGTGTGGGCCTGGCAACCCGATGATTTTGTCAGTTATTTTGGAAGACCCAGGCTGCAATCCTTAGACCACTCTCTTGGGAGCCATGGGGAGGGACTGTGGATCTGTGGTAGATAATTTGCTTAGCATGCATAAGGTCCCAGGTTCAATCCCTGGCATCTCCAGTTGAAATTTTCAGGTTATAGATGATGGGAAATACCTCCAGCCTGAGACTATAGAGAACTGCTGCCAGGCCTTTGAGGGGGAGCCGCCGCCGCCGCCACCACTGTTCCATCAATGATATTCCAACCACCACCCCATGTAGGGGTGGATGTCGCTCAACAGGACTGGGGGAACATTCTCCCTGGTGCTCCTACTGTGAAGAACTTGGCCTGCCAGTGTGGGACGTCGTCTATCTTGGATTTTATGTAAATTATTGCAGCACCATATTTTATATTGGATATACTGTTTTAAATTGTTGTTGTTTGTATTTCTATTTTAATCGTGTAAGCCGCCCCGAGCTGAATATTGGATGGGGTGGGATATAAATCTCAATAATAAATAAAATAAAATAAATAAATAAAATACTGACCTTGATCGACCAATGATCTGATTCAGGGTAAGATTTATGTGTGAGTAAACTCCTTCTGAATAAAATGGAACTTACTTCTAAGTAGATATGCTTTGATTGCTCCCTCATTCACTTTTAAATGGCTAAAGCAGCAAATATGTAGTCAATGAGGTCACCATCAGCAAAGGATCTCTTATGTTTTGTTGGGATGTGACTTTTTTGTACTTGGAATTCATTCCTTTCTCTTTTTCAGAACTTGAATTGGTTTAATATTGGTATTTAAGGAATCAGTTACATATTTGTTCCCATTGCTTTCAACAGGAAACATATTTTTGTAAATTTTCTTCTCCCATCCAATTAGTATGAAATTCTCAGAAACTATACTCTTCACTTCAGGAACCTTTCTGTGAAATGGCAGACACGTAGGAGAAAACAATCAAATTGCAGAGGCAATTGAATTTCGCCTTTGCATAGAGGGCCCATGGAAGGTGTTTGACAATATTGGCATGAGAAGTTATCCTCCTTAATCACCAGTATTTTCAAGAAGACAAGGGGCAGTCTGGAGTGAGGGGATGTGTCTCACACAAAGCCTTATTGCATTGTTTTCAGCTCAGTTCAGCATTTTGCTTCTATTTATGGTGATGATGGTATTGATCATTGTATTGATCATAATTTATGATTATGACATTGAAACCATGCTGGGAGAAATATGCTTCTGAGGAAAGGTGTAGAAGGACGCAGAATTTTCTTCCCTTCGCCCATAGGTATTTTTAATAGGCCCACCTCATGTTTTAGACATGAAGAGGTATTCTTATATATATGAGGATCACCCATTTAAGCCCTGAGCTAAAATATATTGTCCATCTTTATCCTCATCACAAATAATAAAAATTAAATTCTGAACCCAAAACTCACAGTGCCCACTCTTCTTTTGTCATCTATTTTCCCCATTTCCTGCTCCAAAAATTTCTGTGGTGATCAGCTCCCCACAACTGTTAATCTTAATAGCATTCACATTATATTTGCCAGTGACCTAAATTCTAGAAGAGGAGTTCCTGAGCAGACAAATACTTCACTGGAGTAAGCAGAGAAGCCCTATTGTCTCCTGAATAATCACATAATTTATTTATGGAACTGTTCTTATAATCGCAATGAATTGTAAGGAAATTTTCTCATACATTCTGTTTACAATTTGTTGCCAAAAATGCTTATTCAGTGGTATTCATGGCTTGTTGAAAGTCACATTCTCATCAACCAAAAGATTGCCAAAAATGCTTATTCAGTGGTATTCACTCCATGGCTTGTTGAAAGCCACATTCTCATCAACCAAAAGGGACACATGACTACTCCATGCCTTGTACACTACCACATCCAACAAAGACACATTCAGTAATACAAGATACAACTATTATACATGTAACAATAACCTTTTTAATTGCCTGTTTAATTCTGACCATGTAGGGTTGTCTCTCTCCACCACTGTTGAACTCTCAGCCAGCTCTTGGGCTGCCAACCTCCAGGTGGTAAATACAACAAACAACAAACACTGTGACATGAATGACTAGGACATTTAGGAAAGATCATGTTGTAGAATGAATCACACTTTACAAAATTACAAGGAAAAGTCCATCATACTCTCAATAAAACTTTACAAAATTACGAGGAAAGTCCATCATACTCAATGAGCACCCAGATATAAACTCATTTCAGCCCAATCTTCCTCAGGAGTAATCCTATTGTATAGCAAGGTATCAGCCTCTTGATACAGTTCAATGTCTATTAGGAGCAAACCAATGCTTAACTTCTTCTTTATTTTCTGCACTTTATCCTAGAAAAAATCCATGGTATTTTAAATCAAAAGAAACATGGAGTTGAACGGAACTTACTTCCAGTTCCATTTCAAGTGTTAGTATTAGGAGAAGGCCGGTCTTGTCTCTTTAACTAGGTACACAAGCCTCCTATATTATGCTGGCAGAAAGGCTGTCCATGAAACACTGTAAAAATATTTATAGTAGTAGCACCAGTCCTCTTTTCTTCTGGCTGGAAGCCTTCAATTTTGAATGTGGCTGGCAAAATGCTCTCTACAACAAGCTGGACTCCAGGCTCTATAAGGAAAACTATTCTAATTGATTCCATGCAGCTGCATGTTGGACGTCTCTTTTTTAAACCTATAACATATTAATAAGATTATTGAAGGGCTGAACCTCTGTGTAATATTTTCACTTTTTAAATTCACATGTAATTAAAGTAATATCTAGAAGAGATGAACTGGGCTCAATTTTTTACACTTTAAATTAATTATTACATTTTAAAATAGATGTGATATCATCATCTTTAATGTGAGAGTTAAACCATTTGGGATTCATCCCAGAAACATCACTTTCTAAAAAGTCAATTGGAACAACATTTATAAATACTTGCCATGACAAAGCCTTTACTAATCAATTACAAAGAAGTTCTAAAAAATAAAAAAATAAAAACTTAAGCTAAGAATATAATTTTTCTAGAATAAAGTGGAGAAAATAAAGAAGTTAAGCATTGGTTTGCTCCTAACAGACATTGAACTGTATGAAATTAATTTACACTTTAAATTAATTATTACATTACAATATGAAGATACCTTGCTATACAATAGGATTACTATAGGATTACTCCTGAGGAAGATTGGGATGAAATGACTTTATATCCGGGTGCTCATTGAGTATGATGGACTTTCCTTGTAATTTTCTAAAGTGTGATTAATTCTACAACATGATCTTTACTAAATGTCCTATTCATTCATGTCACTGTGTTTGTTGTTTGTTGTATTTTCCACATGGATACCTGTGACCCCCCCTCTTGGTTTTTTCAACCTCCAGGTGGTGGCTGGAGATCTCCTGCTATTAGAACTGATCTCCAGGTGATAGGTATCACTTCACCTGGAGAAAATGGCTGTTTTGGAAGTTGAACTCTATGGCATTATGACCCAAACCCTGCCCTCCTCAAGCTCCACCCCCAAAATCTCCAGGTATTTACCAACCCAGTCCTGGCAACCCTAGCTAGCTCTTATGTATCTGGAATGAAGGAAAGGGCTTCCCTCTCTGCCTTCTTCTCCCTTTTCAGCCTGAGGCACAGCAGTTCAGTCAGAGTGGGACTGCCAGAGGAGATCAAGAAGAAGAAGAAAAGAGATTAGATTTATACCCCACCCTTCACTACCCAAGTTGTCTCCGAGCGGCTTACAAACTCCTTTCCCTTCCCCTCCCCACAACAGACACACTGTGAGGTAGGTGGGGCTGAGAGAGCTTCGACAGAAACTGCTCTTTTTCAAGAACAGCTGTGCCAGAACTATGGCTTGCCCAAGGTCATCCAGCAGGTGCAAGTGAAGGAGTGGGGAATCAAGCCCGGTTCTCCCAGATTAGAGTCCGCGCACTTAACCACCACACCAAAGCTGGTCGTGGAGCAGGGGGAGTAAAACTATCACCATTCCACTGTGGCAAGCTTGCTCTTTTTCTGCATGGTGGTGGTACTATCTCATCTTTGCGGTCAGATTACTGTCTTCCCAGCAGTTCCCCAGGTGCTAGGAAGAAAAGGGACCTTTTTACTTCCATCCTTGGTATGGGGTTTGCAGTTCAAAGAGGGTCTCAGCATACCCATCCTCCAGCCACTGCAAGAGTGGCTGTTTTATAGTGCGAACCCACCTGCCAACAACAGGCAGTAGTGCAAAGTGGCCTTTCTTTTTTTTTTTTGCGCATGAGGCAGGTGCTACATTGGAGAACAGTGCCCATGTGTCATGCCAAAAAGCCAAATGTTGTTCTTGTGCCACTATCACCACTCTAATGAATGTATATATTTACATTCAATCTTAAGCAATTGAAATGATAGATACCATAGAATTTAGAGGCTATAAAGAAACAGAAAAGTGCAACAGCATTGAATTTAAGTTTCTAGCATAACACAATTGACACAGAATTCACCAAAATAAATGTTACTGCCTGTTTTCCTTTGAAGTACTCCCATTGTTGAATGTGCAAGAGGCAACATCTGAAAATATTAACCAGATTTCAGTTCTGTTCTATGCCACTCCATTTTGCCATATGAAATACCAATATAAATTGGCATGTAGAGTATTCTAATACCAGCTAGGGCCGCACACAAATGGCAGGAAAGTGGGGATATGTATTGTAAAAGCATTTTAACAATCTCATTTCTTTTTCAGCATCTGGACCAAAGAAAGTATATGTGAAGTGATGAAAGCCAGCATCAAAGAAAAAGTCCACTGCATATTCAACAAGCACTCTGGGGATGAGAATATTTTTCGCTATCCTTGCCTAGAAGTCCAGGTCAATTTGACTGCCTTGGGACAGGTGGTTATGCTGTATCACACCGAAGATACTTGGACAAGAAACCCCAAGGTTTGAGTGCCATTTGTTAAGACACACTCTTGATACTAGATCTGTAACTCCAGATATTTCATTAAAGGGGCTACCCTGATCCAAGAGTTACAGGTGTTGCCCCCACGCTGGGGGGGGGGGGGGGGGCGGCAATATTCCCGCAGGATATTTCCCCTCAGCCAAAGTTTTCTACTACTATAGTAAGTAACAAACAATGAAAGTAACTAACAGCATATTCTAGCCAGACAACTGTCCTTAGCCAAGTTTTGCTATACCTGGACCAGAAGGTACAGATGAAAGGCATACCATTTCTCATAGAATGCACATCTGCTTGATTATTCAGCAGGTGGAGTTTCAAGATAGGGGCATGGGCTGTAAAATCTGGCCAGAGCAAATTGAGGCACTCCATTGGGATATATATATTCATTGTGAGAAATATATCGCCCAGATGGCATTTTCTGATACAGGCTGTCACCCAAACATATGGGCCAGCCTACAGGCTTAGAGCCATTTAAAAGTCTGAAGGCTGATTAGGTTGCGTACATAATTGTACTTTCAAGTGACTTCCACATATAGTCACGTTCCCAGAGTTGTTGGGAAATTCAGTTGGTGCCTCAGCTCTCATGATGAAACTGTAGTCATCTTTTGTCCTGGCCATAAACAACAGCATAGGTTAGTCAAATTGACATTGCTTTAGCACAACAAATAGAAAAAACTAGCAGATAAAACAGTTGAGATGAAAAGCTCACATTGATTATGTACTATTTTTTTTAAAAAAACACAACCCTATATATTTGTAAGGAATGCCAGCCTCCAGGTGGGACCTGGGGATCCCCTGGAATTACGGCTCATCTCCAGACTGCAGAGATCAGTTCCCCTGGAATAAAGGGATGCTTTGGAGGGTGGACTCTATTGCTGTGTACCTCACTGAGGTCCCTATTCTCCCTGGGCTCCACCCCCCAAACTCCAAGAGTTTCCCAGCCTGAATCTGGCAACCGTACCCCACCATCTCCTGCCAGTAGCCAAGGGGGACCTGGCAACCCTAATTGTACTTTCCTGTTTATCCAATATAATCCCCAAAGGAGAGCAGATACCTTCAGGTTCAATTCATACAGCTACTTTCCCAATGGCTGGCCTAATACACTGAAGGAAAATGCTTTTTTACGCTGAGCCATTTTATGCACCAATTCATTTGGTTTTGGATCTCTGCCATTATTATTTTAGATGCTATACAATAAGTCATAGGCTAGCAGGAAATAATTGTTTACACTGGAGATCTACAATTCCCTAGACAAATGAGCAATAAAGCCAATTTTCCTAATGGAAATTTCAACAATTGCTTCACAGCCAGTATAAATGACTGCTTACATATTCTGCCTTGTCCTACAAGCACAATTAAGAAGAGAGATGTTTGCCTAAGAGTACTTATTTATGATGGGCTTCTTTTAAAACACTATACTGCAATTCTCCATCAGATAGTCAATATTGCTACTTTTCTTACATTTAGAAGACAGGGGTTTTTCAATGTGTACATAAATTACATAAAATGCAACAAGTAAAATGTTGCAGTGAGCTTCCTGAACCTAAGCAAAAATATAACATGGGGTGGGGTCAAGTGTTCTGCACCTATCTCCAAATTATTTGTAATCCATTACAGATGATTAATTGTAGACTCTCATTTAACAACATACACAGGGCATCCAATTTAGTTAGACTGCATCATGTTTTATAACTTTTCTTCTCTGGTACAGAGCACTAATATTTAAACAGCATTTTCCTTATATCCATTAAGTATTTTCTACACCTCAGTAATAATTGTAACAACTCTAAAATATGGGTACTCAACAGTTTAGCTCACATTCTGTTCACTCACTGTGAACAGAGAGCTAAATTTTCAATATTAAGTTTGACTGGTTACTTTTCTATAGTCATACCTACCAGAGCAGCACACAATTGTCTTTTCCTGCAGCTGCAGCCTTCATTTTTCCATCCCATGCCAGTGGATGGTTTTTTAAATGTTTTTTAAAAATAATAAAATAAAAATATAATAAATGCTATTGTGAATTGAGTTTGAGTCCAGTGGCACCTTTAAGACCAACAAAGTTTTATTCAAGATATATTTGTGAACTAACATTCTAATAATCTATGGCCATGATCTCTGAAGTCTCAGCTTTTTTTTTTTTAAGTTTCTAGCCCTTTTTCTTGCCAAGATATAAAAGGGAAAGTGCAGGCAGCGAGTTTCTCTATTCTCAGCAAGGAAAAGAGCTAGAGACTCACTCTATTTTAAATGAAAGTAGAGATTATAGAAATCATGGCAATAGACATTATTTTGCAATAACAATAAGCAAATGTCCCATATTACATAAATCATAAACACTATGGTTAAAAAAATCTCACCCTTTGGTTTTTAAGTAGTTGTTATGTAATGCCTCCCAATCTGCTCAAATAACAGTGCTTTGCACATGTGCAGGTTTTTTGGGGGGGGGCGGGGACCACAAACCTGTCCAACAAGCTTTTGAGTTATTCGATGCCCAATTGAACAGACTGGGTGATCTACTCACATCTGATAGTTGCATTCAAGCATGGTAAGTTTGACCATTGAACATGTTTCACTTGACATCTGTCACATTCCTGCTCTGAAATCAAAGGCTGATTTCTGTGTTTCATTTGGGGAGTATAGGCTAAGTAGGGTTGCTTAGTCAAGGCTGGGGAAATTTCTGGAGATTTGGGAGTAGATCCTGGGAAGGGGAAAAACTTCAGTGATGCATAAAGCCATTAGGTCCACCCTCTGCTATATTCTCCAGAGGAACTGATCCCTCTGGTCTGGAGATGATGATGATGATGATGATGATGATGATGATGATGATGATGATGATGATGATGATGATGATGATGATGATGATGATGATGATATGGGCTCTGGGCAATGTACAAGGCGGGATAATGCCATAAAAATACAAAACACTAAAATTCAAATTAAAAGATCCAAGATGGCATCCTGTAAATTTTCTAACCCAGTTCTACACTACCGGGCCATTTTCTGGGCACGGTGAGAAGAAACTTGACAAAAATGCAGAAGGGGAAGGGTGCCAGTCAGGGGGAGATGTTGCTGCCCTCAACCAAAAGCCTGGCGGAACATCTCTGTCTTATAGATGAGTTGTAATTCTGGGAGATCTTCAGGCCCTGCCTGGAGGTTGGCAGTCCTAGAGCTGAGAGACAGCCTCTTGCCCAAGGCAACCCAGTGAATTTATATCAACAAGAAATGGGGCTTGCCAGCAGTGTTCCCTCTAAGCTGAGTTAGTGTGAGCTAGCTCACAGTTTTTTAGCCTCCAGCTCACACATTTTTGTCTTCGCTCAGGAAGGATGGCTCCAGAGCCAACTACGGTAATTTATGCAGCAGCCATATTGCTCACTCACAACTTTAATGCCAGTAGCTCACAAAGTAGATTTTTTTGCTCACAAGACTCCACAGCTTAGAAGGAGCATTGGTTGCCAGTTAGTTGGATATGCTGATTAAAGTTTTCATTCCAAGATGTGGAGATCATAGCAATGCCCTCCCAATTCACCATCACTGCACTGCCCACCCCACTGAGTGGGGATCTCTTGGAGTTACAGCTCATCTGCAGACTACAGAGAGCAGTTCCTCTGGAGAAAATGGCTGCTTTGGAGAGAGGGCTCTGTGACATTGTACCCTGCTGTGGCCCCTGTCTTCTCCAGGCTCCACCCCAAATCTTGAGGAAAGAATTTTCCTCAAGGCCAGATTGGCCAGGGATTCTGAATTTTTTTGCCTTCATCTGGCCATAGAACAGGAGTCACTAGGGGAGTGTGGGGGGAAGGTGTGAATTTCCTGTGTTGTGCAGGAGGTTGGACTAGATGACCCTTGAGGTTCCTTCCAACTCAGTTTCTACAGCACTGAGAAAAGGAGGCACAGAATGACCCCAGAGCTGTAATGGGAAACCATGAAAGCTTCCAGAACCTGGCCATGGCTGGAGCTCATTGATCACTGTAACCAGGGGGTGAAGCCACACAGTGCTATGAGTAGCTGGGAGGAAGTGCTAATAGAGAGGATGAAACATGGCATGGATTGTCAAGCGAGCCTCAGAAAGACTAGAGGTAGGCACAGCGAAAGAATTCTCAGGCCTCAGAGGGGCCTATTCTCAGGCCTCAGAGGGGTGATGCGACCCCATGCAGTGCCCACTCCTGACCAAGGTAAGACTGATAGAGTAGTAATTCATAAATGATACAGAACTAGGGTGAGTAAGGTTTGCAGATGACACAAAATTATTCAGGATGGCGATAACCAAGGCTGACTGTGAAGAGCTCCAAGAGGATCTCACCAAACTGGGTATAAATGTAAGGTGATGCGCACTGAAACAAAAAATCCCAGCTTCAAGAATAGGCTAATGGGTTCTGAACTTGCTGAGATGGAGAGGGGAAAAGATCTTGGGGTTGCAGTGGATAGATCAATGAAAATGTCAACACAGGCCGATTTCCCTCAAGCGCTGCTCCGCACTCGCTCTTCCCTTTTGCCCTGATGGTATGTGTCAATTTCACACAAGCTGCTGCGCAGCTGCATTTTGCCCCACAGCTTTGTGCGATTTTCCCCATGTCTACTCAATCCTCAAAAAACAAGATTGAGTAGACGCGGGGAAAATCACGCGAAGCTGCAGGGCAAAAAGGCGGCCACGCAGCAGCTTGTGTGAAATTGACACGTACCATGGGGCAAAAGGGAAGAGCGAGCATGGAGCAGCACTTGTGGGAAATCAGTCACAGTGTGCTGCAGCAGTGAAAAAGGCAAACTCTATGTAAGGGATTATTAGAAAAGGTATTTTCCAACATGGAGCTGGCAGTCCTGTGAGACACTGCTATAGGTTTCACAGCCTTAAAAATCAGACATGTGAGAACCAGAAAAAGCAATCCTTCTTTCGTGGAATACCTCTTACAGAACATTTGTGTAGTTTTGACATAGAGTTATTTCAGTGGCAAGTGAAAACTTATTTGCACATGTGTTTACCATTAATTGGCATCCTGCTCTTGTGTGTTTGTTCTTGCAGTGCTCCTACATTCCTGGCAATCTGGAGAATTTTGGTGAAGTACAAAAGAACGTGGAAAGTATAAAAAACAATTTCAGTAAGATCAAGATATTCCCTTGTTTTTATGACCCCTCAAGAGCAGAACCCAGTGTTATTTTAGAACGATTGTACTCTCCAGCTGGATTTGTCATTACTATGATTTGGCCAACTTTAATGATGACTGGCGGGATCTTAATCATCATCTTGGTTAAAATAAATCAGTATTTGTCAGTCTTCACAGCCTCACAATACATAAGACCAGTGTAGTATAACATTAGTCTTTATTTCATGTTCACTTACCAGCATCTCAGGGAAGCTAGGCAATCTCTCACCTTTATACAGTGTGGACTAACAAGACGTAAAGGAAACACAGGGGAAGTTCACAGCTGGGAGCCACTCAAACAATATTTTTTGAAACAAACACAATTATTTTGGATTTGACAGACTTGCAGAGACATGACACACTCACATTTCTGCTTCAGTATTATCCAGTGGTCAGAAGCCAAGGGGCCATACTTTCACATGCAGTGTTGCTGAACATGTATATTTCCACAGAATACTTAACCAATGGACTTAAAGCAGCAGTTTTCACAGTTTGCAGAGGCCAGCTTGGCATAGAGACAGGCCTGAGTTCTTCAGGAAGCTGTTTGAAGGCTAGATTTTGGAAGTTTATCAATCACAAGAAAAAATACCTGTTTCACAAAACATAGGAACAGGCTCAACAGAATTCTTGCAAAAAAAGTAGGGACTTCTGTTGGGTTGAGCAGTTAGAAGTCATGAGCTAGTTGTGTTAGGAGTTAGATGTTATCAGCTTGCCACAGGCAATTAAATATGGTGTATGGAACTCACAGCCTACCATTTTATTATCTGGTTCATGAAGTCATCCAATACATACATACCTATGATCATTTAGGAGTGGGCTTCTCCAGCCCATTAACAGGATTATAATACAAGGACTGAACTGTGTCTTTTTAGCTGCCTTTACTTGCTTCTTTTTAAAACAAATATTTGGCCAATATTTAAGACTAGGAGGAAGGCCCATTGCAGGCAGGAATGCAACAGGCGCTAGCGTGGGTGGACGGGCGCAGCCCCTTCCCTGGCGGCGCAAGTTCCCCTCCCGCGAAGACAGGTGGGGTCCCTCCACTGGCTGGCATGTGGGGAGCTTGAGCAAGCCAGCGCAGACAGGGAAGGGGAGGCTGTGTAAACCGGCGGTCACCAGATCTGAGAAGAAAGGGGACGGGTGTCAACCGCTTCCCCTTCCAGGGGCCCCCTCCCCCCCCCCCCCCGAGGCTGCAGGGAGAGCGAGGAAGCCAGGGCCGAGAAGGGAGGGGAGGGGGTTTAAAGCACCTCCCCTTCCAGCAGCTCGCTGCCCCCCCCCATGGCCGGGGAACGCCGGCAGGCCAGCAAGGGCGACGGAGGGAAGACTGGCGGAGGCCGAACTGCCTCCCCGAAGAACTGCCTGCAGCGTCCCCAGGCCAGGCCATGGCGGCCCTGGGAAGCGCAGCATGGCCTCCCCCCATCCCGAGGTTAGGCGGGGCATGCTACCAGGGCGGCGAGGCCAGGGGCAACAGCGGGAACCTCGGCAGGGCCCCCCCAGAAGTGCCCACAGCGTCCCTGAGCCAGGGCATGGCAGCACAGGGAAGTACGGTGTGGCCATCCCCTTCTCTCCCCGCCAACTAGGTGCCGCTGGTGCCGCCGGTCAGACCCATCCCCAGTTCGCGAGGGTCTGGCCAGCCTCGTCCCTCCTCCCCACCCACCCCCAGCCCATGGGATACCAGGAGTCCTGAACGGCAGCTGGAGGCCCAATGGCTGAGGGAGCGCATTTTTCCTCGCCATCCCATAGGCTAAAGGCTACCCCAAAACACAATTATTATAAGGAGAGATTCTAGAATGTTTAGATATTGTGAGTATCAGTTACATACATTTGCATATCCTTAACTAATGAAGATTGCTTACAGCCCTTAAGGATTTCATAGTTCCATAAAGTTTAAATTGCTCTAATTATCTTACATCTCCCTTTTTGTCATTCTTCTAGTAAATCAGCTGAATTCTTTTTGCTAATTTTACATCAGAGGAGTTCTATAAGAAGGGATATCTGTATACCCAGCTCTAGAAGTGGCTTTCTCTATCCTGAATCTAGAGTACAAAACCACACATGGCAAGGCAGTTAACAGTGGGAACTGTCGAGCTGAGCTTGCATACGAGAGATGTTCTGTGGAGTGGCTTCAGTCCAACTGCATTCTGTCATGACTGCTACTGCAGCAAACTGTTACTGCCAGTAAAATAAAGTGCATCCTACCCACTGCAGCAGCAGAAATGACAAGAGTAAACGAATCCATTTTGCATACCATACATTCCATATTGCAAGGAAAGTACCACAAACATTTCAACAATGGCATAGCATAAAAAATACTGGCAAAACTTTATTGGCACTCACACGGACAAAACAAACCCCTTAGGACTGCAGGAAATTTTCTTCACATTCATATCCAGTGACAAAAGGAGCTTTCTGCAAAAAGGTTCAAAAACCTCCCTTGCCCTACCCTCTCACCCTTAGCCTGTGTGCAGCTTCAGGATTACTTAAGAAGGGCCCCTTGCTTGGGCAGTTATAGCCAGTCAGGGATCAAAAGCACAACATCATAATATTACATGATCCCACTGGCAATCAAGTTTAGCTGGAAGGGATTAAAGTTACCTGTCCTTTCATAATCTTTCCCTTTCACATCTTCTGAAACTTGAGGCTGAAATAAACAAAATCACAAGTAGTCCTAAAGCAGCATACCACGGCAGGCAGGTATCCTATCCCAAGACAAGCTTCTGTCCATTAGTTGTGGTATGGTATGTAACTTGAGGAGCAATTCTATTTTTTTAATGCCATCAGAAGTCACCAGGCACAAGACCATAAGCCTTACTGTTGTAACCAATCTGCAGCAAATAAATTGGGCCCATTTTAATGAGATTATTCGAAGTGCAATGTCTTTGTGTGCATGTGTTATTTAACAGCCGCCTTGGAGCAAGAACTACAAGCAACACAATGTACTGGAAAATTACCATGATGCACTGCTGTAGCTATTGTCATTACCTGTGCATTAAATTAACGTTTATAGCTTCATTGCTCAGTGAGCAACAGCTGTCTATGTGCTGCCTAAAGCCAAGCAAATGCAGAAGGTTCTTCAATGTGGATTCTAACTGTCAGGTCAACAGCAACTGTGGCAAAGACAAAAGAATTTTATTTTTGCAGTATATTTTCTAATGAAAATGTATTTGTTTTACAAAGCATCTATTCTTATATTGTTCCTTGGCATTCATACAGACAGTGCAGCCCACCCAGCAGGATAAGAGACAGACTTTTACCCCCAAGCTGGGTAAATTGGGGAGAGGATTGCTCCCTGAGAGACCCTGGCACCACGTTCTGTCCTCGACCTTGGAGAAAGGAAGAAAGCCATTGTAGGGCAGTCTCCCAGATCCCCAGGTTGGGAAGGCGGTGGGCTAAAAGATTGTGGCCGACCATGTCAAATGCCACTGTCAGGTCAAGAAGCAACAGCAGTGCCAACCCGCCTCAGTCCAGCTGTATCCAGAGGTTGTCTGTAAGGGCAACCAGAGCCATCTTGGTCCTGTGGCAAGGCTGAAAACTGGACTGGAAGGGATCCAGGATGGAGGCCTCATCCAGGAAAGCCTGCAGCTGTTTCGCCACCACTCTCTCAACTACCTTACCCAGGAACGGAAGATTCGATACTGTGCAGTAGTTGGCTTTTTAAAGAGCGGACATACCATGGCCTCCTTCAGCCCCCTTCAAAATACTATTGTTGCTCAAAAGATTAACTACTGTTTTATTACTTCCAGATATTCCAAATTTACAAGCAGTCAGTGCACATGCAGTCCTCCCAACAGGGCAAATAACCTGGCACAGTTCCAGGTTGAGAAAATGGTACAGGGTGGGGAAGCAGGATTCCTTCCTTACCTCTCACTACAATTTTAACCCAAATTTGGTCCATGGTGACCACATGGAAAACATAATGTGCAGTTTGGCCCCAAATGCACTACAGAAGTCCCTGCTCATTCTTCACCCAGGTACTGTTCTTGCATTTATGAACAGTGTAGCCTTTTCCACTCCAAAGTTCATTGGTCATGCTTTGGTGGCTTTCCCTTCCATCAACACTTCTGTGGTGCTCCAAAATGCAGTCACAATTTATTTCTAGAGTATTCATGTGTGAAATTGGCTCCACTCTTATAGTTCATGTAGTATAGTGGCTAGTCTTAAAGCTCAATTGATGTGCTAAGTATATTTTTCAGATGATTAAGCAAATGTTATATATGCCCCCCAGCAGTATATTATTTCTAAAACTTCCACATAAGTGTATCCAGGACCACTGTCAGGAAAGGACTGGGGATATAACATTCAAGAGGAGGGAACAGAGCATTTTGTGCAAGTGCCTTTGGGTGTGATCATAGCGGTTGGTGCAGGAATAGGGAGCTTAATGCCCCCAGGCTTCATTTTGGTGAGTATTAGTCACTTCATGAGTTTGAGGGCAGATTTCTGGCATTTAATATTTTTCAGGGGCTAAACCTGGTACACATTCAGACCTGCCTTTCAGCTCATGCCATGACAATCTATATGTAGAATCTTAAGGAAACATTAAATCAGAATGGTGAAGTAAGATACTGGGACACTGATCTTAAAGGGATTTTTCTTCTTTCATAATCCTAAAGCTTAGAGGTTCTCTTATGACATTGACTAGCTAGAGGTTCAGATTAGTCACTGAAAAAATGGAAAATGTAATGCCATAAGTAAAATATTGTGTTAAGTACCAGACAAAGTGGTCAAACCTTAAAAGGGGTTTGGATAGCCTTAACATGTATCCATAACTCATAGTAGTGTTAGCTAAATAAAATTTCATTGTACAGTATATTGCCTCTGAGCATAGAAGTTGCTTTATACCAAGTCAGATCATTGGTCTACCAAAATCAATATTGTGTACTGGCAATATTGTGTGACTGGCAGCGGCTTGCCAGGATCGCATGTACATGTCTTTCACATATGATGCTTTTCACCAGAGATGCCAGGGAACCTACATGCAAAGTGGATACTCTGTCATGAAGCCGCAGCCCCAATAGGACCCACAACAAAGATAGTGGCAGACTATATACCTTTAGTAGATGAGAGGGATCAAGTAGGCATCTAACTGGATAGGCTTAGTCAGTGGCAGAATCAAAATTGGGTGAGATTAGGACATTCTGCTGCTGAAAGGATTTAACAGGATGTTTAGACCCACACAGTTTGGAACTGTACAATTTAAAATCCAATTAAAATAGCTAAAGATAAAAATAAAATAGCTAAAATTACCAACAAAATGGTGCCAGAATGGTCATACAATATGTATTACTGTCCCACAATATGTGAAAAAAGCAGAGTAGGGGAGGAGAAGGGAGTACTGGATAAGATGGAACCCATTGCTGTCCTCAACCGAAAGCCTGGCAGAACATCTCTGCCTTACACGTCCTGCGGAACTGCATAAGGTCCCACAGGGCAC